AAGGTCTCTTGCCAGTACATGCCACACAACCTTGGAACACTACTGTCCCTCTGTCATGGGGCATATGTGCTGTCCCTCTTGCTTCTCACCTACCTTCCTGCTCCCTAGCACACCTTACAATTTTCTCTCTAGTTCCTAGAGAATGCTGCCTCCCACAAGAAGTCTTCCCTGATTGCTGCTACTCACACTCTACCCCCTCTCCCTTTGAAGCGTCCATCTCCTTCACACTGGCCACTCCAGACCAGGAGCCCCTTTAAGGCAGAATGTGGCGGCTTTCTCTCTGTGTCATCGATGTCAGGCTAAGAAAGGAGGAGGGAGGAGAGGAGGGGAGGTTGCAGGAACCACGAGAGTCCTGGGTTCACATACAGCCTGCATCACCATCTGACTTGGGATAAGTCACTGCCTCTTGTCTGAAACTCATTCCCTCTATGTAAAATGGGGACCTTGATCCCTGCCTCTGTCACAGCCTTGCAAGGAGGATCATAGTGAGGATGCTGTGAAATTTACATCCTTTAAAGAGGGGTCCACTATTCTAACAGTTGATGCATTGTGTCAACTTGAGAAATTTAGAAGTTTAACTTGAGAGACTCAGCAGGGAGCCAGAGTCTTCATTTTGTAAACATCCTCATCCTGTGCACAAGGAGGGCAGGGAGATGGTGTGAGTCCTTAATTTTGGGTGGTGGGTATTTTGTCCCAGCAAGGAGAGAAAAGACAGTTATGTATCCTCAAATTCTCTATGTGGCCTTGGGCAAGACAGATGAGCCCTATATTTTCTTCTGTGCTGCCACCCACAGATACGGCCCTGGCTCCTCCGCATGAAGCCTGGTGTGTGGAGGGCCTGGATTTCCCAGTCTCAAATCAGAAAGGCCCTGGCCTGACCAGGACGTGGAACTTTCTGGGAGTCTCAAGGAAGAAAAGAAGGACTGGGCTGAGTGGGGTCCCACTGAGGCCGCTGCTGCTATCCTATCAACTGACACAGGTTGGTGGGGGCCTAGGGTCACCCTTCAAAGTAGGGCAATCGCGGATCAGGATCTCAGGCACACCAGCCCCAGTTCAGGGCCTGGGAGGGAGCTCTTGACTTTCTCAGGACTCAGCTACTCCCTGATGGGCTGCTGGATGTATAAGCTAGATGCCACTTGGAGATAATGACAGATGTCACTCCCCCAACCACTGCCCAGCTCAAGTCACACCTTCCTCACCTTTGGATTTGATAGGCAAAGTAGCCACCATGGCTGTGTGCCTAAGACTGAGAGGCATGATGAGGCCTCCCTTACAGCTGCCAGGCTGGAGCAGGTTGACTTTTGCTCTCAAGGTAGGAGCTGGCTTCCAGATACCGGAGACACTGTGCTCTGGCCTAGGTGTCATGTGGCCACTATCACTCCTCTCTGCCCTTGATTCTCCCTATTGCTGGCTCAGAGGAGGGAAGAAGGAAGGAACCTTTCCTTAGGGGGCTCTCTGCCCTCGTCCAGACTGCCCCCTATACCCCATACCCCTATTTTAAGATCCCCTCATGTCAACGTCAGGTTCAAGAACATCAATCTGGCACTGACCAGACTGCACTCAGAACTACAGACCCAGCATGAACTTCAGGACCCAGTGCAGGAAATGGCCACTTAACCTACACTCCTAATGGCAGGTTACCTCTGCCTTATGTCTTCCTGCAGCAGTGAGTCCCACCCCCAACCACAAACACTTCGGGTTGTTGGTTCTCCTGTTTGGGGTGATCCTAGGCAAGGTTTTGACACTGGCAGACTTGGGGCTGGGCTGGAAGACTCGAAGAGTTGGATTCTATAATCTATAATTTATCTATAATCTGCTGGGTGACCTTGAATAGGTCACAAGATTCTCAGAGCCACAGTCTTCTCATCTGTCCAGGCAGCCAAGGACATGGCAGTGGAAGTGTCCCCAGGCTGCCAGCCAAACCCTGACCACTGTCATCATGTAGTGTGGGTTCTGCCCAGCTGCCACAGGCTCCGTCTTAGTGAGGTGACTTTCCTTTCCTCCTTACACTCCCCGAGGGGCATGTGTGCCTCAAGGGTACTCACTCCCCACCTGCTGATATGTGGCTTCCTCCAGCGCTGTTGGGCACCTGGCCTTGGAAAGTGATAAAAACTCCTGATTGGAAGTCCTCAACAGTGTTGCCATGAAAATGAAATTCTAGATTTTTCTAGACTTGTTTTAAGATGTTAGCAGATCCATGTCATTTGTTACAGTTGCGGTGGGCAAATGGGTGCTTTGAAACAGTTCCTTTAGCCTTTCCTAAACATTTCCTAAACCTTCTTGAAAAGATTTTTGAGTGAGGCTGTTGTGCAGAGGAGAGTGGCTTCAGCCACACTCCCTGGGACCAGGGATTGCAGAGAGGGGCCAAAGGGAGTGCTGGCACTTGGAGTCCTTAAAGAGTGGCAGGTTCTCCTGGGGATGCATGCGCAGGGCATCCTGGGTGAAGGGATCACTTGGCCAAAAGCATGCTGGCAAGGGTAGGTAGGCTGGTGAAGGGATAGGTCTGTGCCAGGGACTTGAGTGCCTGTGGGATGTGGCTACAGCCAGCCCTAGTGGGTCCTCTCAGCAGCTAGAGAGGGCAGGCATGAAGCAAGCCCTCAGATGTGGGGACCTGCCATCAAAGCAATCAGTCCGCTGTAGTCAGGGAGTCGCCTATGTATGCACATAGGGTGCTCTAGGATCTGATAGGAGTCTATGGCGGGGCTTGGGAGAGGTCAGGGAAGGCTTCTTGGAGGAGGAGTGTGGCTGCACTACATACTAAAGTGGAACCAGCAGCCAAATGCACTCCTGGAAGAGAGGACCCACACAGGAATATGGCGCCCACTGTGACTGCCCTGTCCTACCTGGTCTGGGCCTCAAGAGCAGCCTGGCTCCCTCCATCTGCTGCCTCATGCTCTCCTTGCTTCCAGCCCCCCAGGATTATCCTTCTGAAGCTCAGCTGAGACCCAAGCCTTGCCACTCTGCGCTGCATGACTCACTGTTGCCCCGAGGATGTCCAGGCTTCCCATGGGAAGGGGCTGGCATCATCTGAGCCGGTCAAGCTCTCCAGCTTCCAAGAGCCAAAGGAAGGTGAGGAAGGGGCCTGGGGCCTAGCTGCCTCTCCCGGATGGACGATGGGGCATGCGGAACTTCCTGAGATAAGGGCAGCCAACAATGGGGGGCTGTGTGGCATGGCCTCTCTCCCTCCGGGCCAGAGGAAATGAGTGGCCTCCGCACCACTGATCCGCTGCAGCCTGTGGCACCTTTTCCAAGGGAGATCTGATTCAGGGACGTTCCCATGGACCCCACTCACTGTCCCCATCAGAGTCCTGGGCCTGCCACTCTGGGGCCACCGCCTCCAGGATCTCACATAAAGAAGGGGTAATGTGGAGGGGCAACTGGGACAGGAAGCTGTGGCTGACAGCCCAGCCCTGTGTGGGACCCCAGCAAATGCCCCTCCCTTTTTGTTCCCCAGCTTCTTATTCCCTATTCTGGGAGTGTAAGGACCTTCTCAGCACGAGGGCCTTGGACACACACTTTACCCAAATACCAGCCCTGAAGTTGGTCTCAGGCAGCGAGTGTGCACGGCTGCTGGGTTCTGTGGGCTGTCACTGCCCCTGTGGCTGAGATCAGTGGGGAGAATGAGGCATGGCCTGCACGAAGCTGGGCCCCTATTTCGCCTTCTGCACAGGAAGGGTGTGACCTAATGGCTCTCCTATGGGGAGGGGCAGTTGTCCCAGGGACAAGGGACAGTGAAGCCATGGAATTCCCACAGAGTCCCAAGTTCCACCTTCACTGTGTGGGCCTTGATGGACCCACCAAGATCTCTTCCTGCCTTGGGGCTGGGGTCTATCCTCTAGAGCAGAGCCTGGCCAGCCAGCCCAAAGGCAGTGTGTGAGCACTCCTGTCTGTGGGGCTTTCAGTACCTGATACGTGTCAAGTGGGGGCTGTGTCTGAAACCACATTCAGGCATGTCTCCAGGCTAGGGGTGCAGCTCTCCCTGACTCTTCCTTAACCATTTCCCACCCCTCACTCTTGCCCCCTGCTCTTGGATGGCTGTGGGAGACTGGAAAGGGATTGAGATTCCCAGCCTAAGCTGACATTCAAAGCAAAGGACAGCACCTGTGGAAGCCCTAGGGATTATAAGGCCAGCCCACTATTCAGAGGGGGAAATTGAGGAAACCCAGGCCAAGAGCCTTCCAAAGCCACATGGGAAGCAGTTTGCAGAGGAAAGGTAGTCAAGACTTGTGGCTCCTCATGTGCTCAAGAAATAGCTCAGAAAGCAGAAAGAACCTGCCCAGAGCCACCTGGCCTGCACGAAGTGAAATAAGTAGGAAAAATTTTTCCTGGAATTTCAGCATTCAGCATCATGGCGTCTGGGATTGTGATCAGCAGGGACAGGAGCAAGTGGAAGGAGAGGGAGGGAGAACAACTTGAACAGGTCTCCTGGGCACAGAAGAGGTGGGTACAAAGTGGGAGAGGCAAAGAGAGGGGACTCCCACAGAGGGTGTGCGGCTGTGATACAGGAAGTCTCTTCCTGAGACTGGCCAGGTATTGGATAGGGAGAATGCAAACAGATGAGTTTGGAGGACAGGATGTTAGAACATATTTCCAGAGATGCAGAGGATCCTGTCAGATGACAGCGGAGTAGCCTGAGGGTCAGTGGTGTGCCACTGGGGGTGGGAGGGGTTGACCGATCCGGTTTTATAAAAACTTTTGCCTCTGAGGACCAAATACAACCTCAGACTTGTGGCCAATGTGGCACAAACCATCCTAATTGTGGTGGCAGAAACCAAACCATGTACCAAGTTCTTTCTTGTTCTCTTCTCTACTAGCTACTAATACAAGGAATTTACCATGCACCAGGCCCTCCATCCCAGCCTTTCCTAAGAATTAACTTGTGGAAGCCTCCTATCAACCACAGGAGGTAGATCCAGTTACACACAGGCAGACACACAGACACGCCCAGACACTCAAGCACACACTAGCTCAGGAGCTAGTAGGACAGTGGGAGGAGCACCCCTGATTGAACAATCCCCTGCCCTCTTGCTTGCCATCATTTCCACCTCCCTTCCCCGTTCTCTGGCAAGGCTCTGCAGCCCACTCATCTGTCTCCCTTGGATAATGATTTCTTGTTAATGGTTTTCAGACTTTCCTCCCTTGTTGCCCAAAGCCCTGACTTAGCCCCACCGTGGGAGTCAGGAGGACTGAGAAATCTAAGCCTACATGATGCAAGACTCCAGGCTGTCATCTCCAGGGTGGGCAGCCTGGCTTTGCCTCACTCCCCTGCTCCTCACTTGCAGCCCAAGCCTCCCTGGGAAAGGCCCCAGAGCTGGGTGGAGTGCCTGGAGCAAAGAAAGGCCCTACGGGTGTGTGGCTGGGGTGGCCTGGGGAGGCCTAGCATCATCATTCCTGAGCAGTGCCCACCCGACCAGAAGGAGAAAGGGGGCTTCCATTGCCTGCCTCCCAGCATGCCCTGCTCCCCCTGCTTCCTTCCCTTCCGTGATCACCAGCTCCGTCACTCCCTACCTGCTCAACTGCTTAGACTAGCACTCCCTTCCGGGAGCCCTGTGGACTGCACAGATTCCATCACATTTCAGTTTTTTCCTGCTCTGCATCCTGATTTAGTCTCTGTCCATCCATCAAACCACCCAGTCATCCATCCATCTACCCACCTGCTCTAGTCTGAATGTGTCCTCCCAAACTTCCTAGGTGGAAAACTATCTCCCAGTGTAATGGTATTAGGAGGCCGGGCCTTTCAAAAGTGATTAGGTCATGAGGGTGGGGCTTTCGTGATGGAATCAGTGTCCTTATAAAGGGACCCCAGAAAAAATCCTTAAACCTGCCACACGAAAAATAGGAAAAAAACGGCCATCTATCAACCAAGAAGTGGGCCCTCAACACATACACCATCTGTTAGCACCTTGATTTTGGAATTCTCAGCTTTCTGAACTGTGAGCAATACATTTCTTTTGTTTTTAAGCCACTCAATCTCTGATGCTTTGTCATGGCATCCCAAGTACACTAAGACACCATCATGTGCATCCATCCATTCACCCATTCATCCATTGTACCCACCCTTTGTTTATCCAGCATCTCTGACAGAACAGCACTAGATGCCAGAGCAAGTGGCCCAGACATACAAGCTCTTCCCTGTTGCCCTTCTTACAGAACTGTGATGGGGTCTGAGCTAGCCAATGGCCATGGGCACTCTGTATATACTGCTGGGGTGTGGGTTATCACCCATTTTTAGAGCAGGAACCCTTGGTGAGCTGAGTGCCATGAGGACTTCAAGCCACCTGGGACTTTCTGAGAGGCTAAAGAATTCTGTTTGGCACATAGGTTAGAAAGAAGGAGTGAGTCTGGAAGAGAAAATAGGACCAGGCACAAGGGTCTTGGGGGCCAGTATAAGATCAGTATTGTCCTGGGGTGATGGATTTCCAGTGGCACAGGGCCAGATCAGCACAAATGCTGATGTGAGAAGCCCATTCCATCTCACTGTGAATACAGAAGTCCTCAAGAGACCATCAGAAGTTAGGGCTGCTGAGCCCCACCAGCAGGAGGAGAGGGAGCTCTGATGCTCCCTCGAGGCCAAAGGCAGAAGCTAATCTGGGAAATTTGGGAAAATAAACACAGGTATCTTCTTCCCTCTTCCCAACACAGGGTTGGGGTACAAGAACCTCTGATCTGGTCCTGACAGGAAAGACAAGGGCCCTGGGGAGACGGTACCTCTTGCCCAGCCAATCTGAGGGATCTATGAGGATGTAATGGGAGCTAGTTTGGAGGGGAAGAGAGAGCAGAGAGGGCTGGGAATGGTTGTTTTGTCAGATGTTCCCTCCACGAGGACACTGGCTGAGGGCACGAGTGGGGTGTGGGAGTAAAACCATGGCATGGGACTGCATCTACTAACAAGGCATTTTTCCCCCTAACTTTCACAAAGGTATCTGTGGGGAACTGGTAACTGGTGGTCAACATGTAACACCGTTGGTGCTGGGTGTGGAAGGGCTCACCTGAGGATTGTTGCCAACAACATAAAAAGGAGAACTGGAGAGAAGAGATGGTGCTGTTGATTCTTCTGGAGGAGCTTGTCATGCTGGTTTTCCTGATCTGAACCCTGCAGTTCTCATCATCGGAGGAGCTCAAGTCCTCATTGTCACTGAGGATGGCTGCAGTTCTCTTCAGGAGAGCTCTGATCCTTGCCTTGAGCATCGTTTCCTGGTTCCAGTGCTGATCTCTCAACTTGCTGGCACAGAGCTCTCATTTCACTGGCAGAGACTTTCTAGCTTCTGCCACTGACTTTTGGGCCTTCCTAGTGCAGATCTCTGAAATAGACTTGCATGAGACATTGCCATGGACTATAAGTCTTTAGCTGGACTCATGCAAAACATTGTCATGGGATCAAGGCCTTCAACTGGATTCTTTGAGTCTTTAGTGTGTGAACAGATTTCCTGCACTCTTTTTGTATTTAATTCTTTGGGTGACTATCATAAAATAATCCCATAAATTATGTTTCCTGCATTAAATTGTTTCCCTTGCAAAACCCTGACTACAACAATATTCTTAAAGGCTTGCTAGGCTCCACGGTCATGGAAGAGCAAAAGGAACCTTAGAACAAATTCATAAACTGAGGAGAAAGGACCAGGGATTTAGCTCAGTGGCATAAATGCCTGCCTGGCAAGCGTGAGGTTGTGAGTTTGGTTTCTGGTACCAAAAAAGAAAGAATCTGAGGAGGCAGGAGATTAGTACTACTGCTGTCTCTACCCTTACAGAATGTAACTTGGCTGTGCTGTGGGCACAAGGTGTGAGCGCTTTGCTGTGCTCCCCATGTACCGTGCCTGAGGAAATGAGGTGGTGATGGAGGCTCTTTTGACACTAGAGTCCCTGGCTTACAGGGACACTCACTGGCTCCATGGTTGAACTCTGTGGTTTGGCTAGGAAAAGGAAGGCCTGCCAGGGTTGCCACCAAGTTCACATGTTAGTCCCATTTGGCAAGTGGAGCTGGAATCTGCTCCTGCCCCACCCATGCTGCCTGGTGGCTGCTATGGAGAGGCAGATACCCTCATGCCCACCCAGGGGAAGGAGCCGGGGATGCTCAGGTAGTGCCTAAAGCTGGAATAGACAAGTGCTCAGGAAGCGAGGCATTCCTCACCAGACTGAGGGTCCTCTGTTTCCTATCTCGACCTAGAAGGCCCTGTTTCACTACAGTTTTCTCCAGCCCCTCTCCCCTCCCAGTCCAGAGGGCTCAGTCTGGATAGCTGTGGTGGTGGCTGCTGTTTGAAAACACTGACTACATGAGACCCACTGCTGACATACACAGCATCTCACAAGAGCTTCATGAGGGATGGGAACCATTATTCCCAGCTTATTGATATGGAAAGTGGAAATCAAGGTGCTTAAGTCACTCACTGCCTTGAGTGACAGTAACCAAATGTTGGCACAAGCAACAGAATCCATTCCCAACAGCTGTATCATCCTATCTGGCAACAGGGCCCATTGTGACTCTCAGAGTGGGCGGGCAGCCCTGGATCTGTAGGGGGCTGGCATGATATTGTCTTCTGGAGCTCCATGGAACCTTGACTCTCAGGCTTCAACACAACAGGATCCCGCATTGTGGCTGCTTCATCTGGGATGTTTTCTGCACCTCTAGGCTGAAAGGGAAGTTTTGGCTGGACCCAGCCCACACCTCAGCCTGGGGTGACCACAGCAGTGGGTGTGAGCCACAGAAATTTTGCTACTGATATCCCAGGGCTGAGATCACTACATGGCAGAGGCAAGACTGAGTGCGTTTTGAAGGACAAATAGGAGCTACAGGCTGGAGAAGTTTCAGGGAGAAGGTGAGTACAGCTAGAGAAATCATGTGCTCAGGCCAAGAGGTGTGAGCTTAGAAGGGCTGCAGGAAGGCCCATCATCATCAAACCCTACTGACCAGCTCTGGAAGTGGTGCTGACATCTGCTCTGGCACTGAAGTCCACAGCCACACATCTACTCTCCCTGCTAATTCCGCACCTGATCCCTGATGCCTTCTCAGCCCAGCAATCAATAACCTCAATTTACAGGGTGACCATCACTGCCTTCTGAACTGATCACAATGTCCGTTCCTTCATACTCGATGGAGGAAAGAGGCCCAGGTGCTGGAGATGCATCTGTTTCACCTCAAAAGTATCAGAACTGGCTTGGAGGGAAATGCAGGCTGGGTTGCTCTTTTGCACAGGGTGGGGCCTGGCTGTGCCAGTATGTGCATGAGTGTGTGAGCATACAGCCCTGATCCCCTCTGAGTTGGGGATAATTCATGCTAGCTCACCCATGATAGTATCACTAGTAAAGAGCTTTGAGGAGATGGGTGGTTATAGGGGGTTGGGGAGTGAGTTTTATTGCATAAGAGGTATAGGGAGATTTCTTTTGGGGGTGATAAAAAGTTTTGCATCTAGATAGTGGTGATGATTGTACAATGGTGTTAATGTGTGAATGTCATGAATGGTAAACTTTACTTTGTGTCTTTTAACATAACATATAAAAATGGATGAATAAAGTAAAGCTGTAATTGTGGTAGGAAATTGGGGTCAGTAAGAGCTGTCATCCACTCCATACCTTTGGCTGTCAAATGCAGGGGCTAAAAGAGGAAAGGGCGGCAGGCTATAGATTATGGGATCACTGGCTTGCTTAGCAAAGTTTGAGCTCTAGGAGAAAGGGGTCTTCCTAGAAGTGGCCAAAGGCCACTGAGGCACAGATGGTGAGGAACCTACAAGGAAGTGCAGGCTGCACAGGATTTCAGGAGGACACTAGGGCACGAGTCACTTGGCAATCCATCTCCCACCTGCTTCCTATTGAGGAAGGGCCTCCCCAAGAGGATCTTGGCAGGAAGCAGGGACCCAGATCTGCTGTGGAAATGCCTTTTCCCCTCTGCCCCAATCTTCCCAGTACCTTGGGTATGGCATGAGACTACTCTGGCACCTTGGGCGGGGGCTGGTAAAGCCTGAAGGAGTGACCTCAGTGCCACAGACACAATGAAGAGATTCTTATGGGAGGCAGGTGGGAAAAAGGGAAGGAGGAAAGAAATGAGCAAATTTACTCATTCAGGAAATTTTTACTGAGTGCCTACTACTCATGAAGTACAGAGTGAATGAAGGAATAAATCTGGTGAGAAACCCAGTGGGTGAGTGGGTGAGGGAGCCCGTCCCTGCCAAGCCACAGGGGGCCCCCAGATGGGGTAGAGGGTTGGCAGGGAATCTGGGTGGGCATATCAGTGAGCAGGCCTGGCTCAGATCACAAGGCTGTCCACTGGCATTCTCTTTCAGAAACCTGGCAGGGGTCTGGCCCCTGACAGGCCACTGGCCCCATAAAAGCCCTGATTTATGCTCCAGCCGCCTGCTGGCCATGATGTCGTCTGTGCCTTGTTTATTTGTGAGAGCCAGTTGGGTTCTGGCTCCTTCGTCCTTCTGTCTCCATGTGTTCTAACCCCACATGGTGAGGAAGACGGATGCCTTGGAATTATTTTGCATGAAATTGCCGTGCAAAACTATTTGGCCCGCATTTGATTTCACCTCTTGTTACAGCATAATTTGTTATCCTGAAACGTGCGGCAGCTGGAGCCCGGAGTAGCAGATGTTCCTGGGGGAGGTGAGGGCTCCCCACACAGAGATCCTGGCAGGCCTGGTCTGGACCCAATGGCACTTACCACTACAGCAAGCTCAAAGAGCTTTTTTGGGTTTAGTTGCTCTGTCTACAAAACAGGGGAAGGCTACACCCCTCCCACAGGTAAGGAGAGAACGAAATAATTACTAGAAAGCACAGTGTCTGGGCAATAGAATGCTTCAATAACAATTTCTGCTACTTTTGGAAGAAATGATTGTCCCAGAGAGGTTTTAGAGAATGAACAGAAGAGAACTGGCAAAGACGTGCTTTCTGGCACTGTGTAAGCAGACACATGGAGGGGAGAAGCAGAACTATTATCTGGTGGAACAGGACTGAAAGGAGGCAGAGAACCGTGGAAAAGGCAGCCAGAGCAGTTGGTGGGACCAGTTACGAAGGTCATGGATGTCAAGACAACAGAGAGCCACAGGAAAGATTTGAGCAGGGAGGGATGTGATCTGATTCCTTCACTACAGGGAGAGCGCTCAGGGCTGGAAGGAAAGCTGGGTTGAGTTGCAGGCAGTCAGCTGTGAAGCCTTGCATTGGTTTCCTAGGGCTGCCACAATACAAGACCACAAGTGAGGTGGCTTAAATCAGCACAAATGGATTCTCACAGCTCTTGAGGCCAGAAGTTCACAAGCAAGATGTTGGCTGAGCCATGTTTCCTCTGTAGGTTCTAGGGCAGAAGATTTCCTATTTCTAGCTTCTGGTGGCACCCAGTAATCCTTGGCATCCTTGGTTTGCAGCTGTACTTCTGCAATCTCTGCCTATGCTGTCTCTTGCTGTTTTTTGCTGTGTCTCTGCCTTCTTCATATTCACAAACACTTGGGGTTAAGATTTTAGTACACTGAGGAGTAGGGCTGTGGGGAGGACACAATGCAACCAAGCCACATCAGGCCCCATTACCTCCTCTGTCCTCAGGCCCTCAGGTGCTACGGAGTCTAGGGGCTCTGGATCCATGACTGATTCAATGGGAAACACTCTCTGCTTTTGTTTGAAGCAGTGTGGTAAATCACAATATGGTGGTGGCAGGATGACAAAGTTTAGCCCGGGGATTTTGAGCAGGGGAAAGCTGTGATAAGAAAGGAAAGGAATAGCTGAGGCCACAGCCCTCAGCAGTGGTATGAAGCTGGCCTTGGCTCCGGCTGGGAGAGGAGTGGAAGGGTGGTTTCAGAGAAGAAGGATCTCATAGCTGCCCCTTGGCTGTATGTGTGGTCCCCACTCTGGGTGTCCTTGTGGACCGCCCCACTTGATAGGAAAGTGGTAACTTCAGAGGGGAGAAAGGATGTGAGGGCTAGATAGTGTGGCCATTCCCAGGCACAAGTGATGAAGTCCTAACAGTGACTGTGGAATTAAAGACATGTCCCCTCTTCCAACCCCACACAGGATAGGTATCCTATAAAATCCAGAATTTCAAGGAACATAAAACTGGGGATGGGAATGGTAGGCAGTTGTTAGTATTAAGTGCCCTATGATGGGTGGTACCAGGTGAGATTAGGAAAAGCGTGAGTCAGAGTGGAAGGACAAAATAATACGCTTAGTGTAGTGGGAAGAGGTGTGAGTGTGTGGGGCACCAAGAGAAAGGTGGGCTTACTGTAGGGAAGGAGGCCTCAGAAGCAGGACAAAGCTGAGGGCTGGCTACTGTAGTGAACCCAGATGAGGCCGTGGGAGTCAATGGTTCTCCCAGTTTTAAACTGCAATGAATCAGCTGTTGTTCTTATGCTCAAAAAGGATTATTTACCTTAAGGATAGGTGTGTTTTATGGAACCATTGTACAGGAGTCGGGGCTAGTATCTTTCTTTTGGAGGCTAGAAATGTAGCCAAGCACAACTTATCTCTGCTTTCCTCCAAAGCTGGACTCATAGCAGAGAATTGAAACTCCACAGCCCTAG